ATCTTCTTCTTCTTCTTATTCGCATTTCAAGCTTATTGTTTAGTGCATATTAGCTTATTGCGTGCTCTCAACTTAGTGTTCTAAATGCACTTCCACAGTTATTAATTGAGAGCTTTCGATGCCAATACCAATGCATGAATTTGTATATTGTGTGGCAAGCACAATGATACTCTATGCCCAGGAAAGTCGAGAAAATTTGCAATCCGAAAGATTCCCTCGACCGGACTGGGAATCGAACCCGCCGCCTCCGGTTTGATAATACCGTGCTTTTACTGACTAGGCTATGAGGCCCCACTAATGGTGGAGAATCATCGTGGTGCTGATAACCTGCTCCATGGCTTGATGGTGGAATCAGCGGTCGAGAATAGTCCTAGTTGGTTTCCATATGCGGGAAAACAACGAGTTAGATTGACCATTAATGGGGGGTGAATTGACGGTGGATTAGCCAAATGCGACAGGCCGGATTTCTTTTGTTCCTGTTGTTCTTGAATCTGATCAAAGTGTTCAATTGTTGCTTGTGAGTTGCTTGTGACGGTATGGGTGTGGAGGTTCTAATATGTTCCACATTCGCTCCTCGAGCAGCGACTTCCAATGACTGATTCTGCAAATCAATCCAGTCCTGCAGTGAGGTTTGTCGACTAGAACAGCTCCCATAACTCACGACGGTGGATGTTTCTGCCCTCTCCGAATCAATTTCTGCTTCGAGTTTGTGTTTCAGAGCCAGGTATGCACGCTCTCTCTCTCTGCTTGCGCCATCTGAATGCGATCTTCCAATGATTTTGCTTCCTCTAGTTGTCTGAGACGTAGTCGAACGTTAGAGTCAGCTGATCTACACAATCTGACAGATGTGCAACACTCGTTGCAACTTCTGCAGACCCATGATCTTTCATTGATAGAAGCCGGCACTCCGGCACACTCAAAGTGCCACCAATTGTTGCATTGGTCACAAGGAACCATATTGTTGTAATGATCGAATCGATCGCATCCTATGACGATGTCATTATGCTTGCCAAAGAATTAACGCCCTAACGTTTCTAATTTCATCGTGTTTTTGCTTTATTATGTGTTTGGATAAGTATTTTAGGCAAATTCATTTTATAAATGGCATATAACTTACAACTTTCTCTTTCCGCTACATATTTCTTGTCACAGGGTTCTCCTACTGTGCACCTAGCTAGATTGTATCAAATTTTAGGTTATAAAATCAAACTTCAGTTTAGAATAACAAATTTACCTGTTCTTATGAATTTAAACGTTGAGTAATATATGAACTAGGAAATGGATCAACTTATCTTTGTTGTGAAAGTAATAATAAATGAAATATAGTTAAATTTTATTAGAACTTATCAATCGATTGCACGCTTTTAACTTTTTGCTTTTGTTTTGATTTTGCATGACAGTAAAAAAGTAGCATTCTTGGCTGCGTCGCGTCAGTCGAGGCGTAGGCTTTTATTAAAACGAAAGGGCCTATAGCTTGCTCGGCGGAACAGAAGCTGTCCATATACCACGTGAACATTTTAAAAAGTGGAGAGGGGTTGGCAAATGTCCACGGTCCATAATTTTTTTTTGTGAATTTATGGATGATTATCTATTATAGGGTAGAGCGCTACTTCGTCGTAATCGCCCATTTCCGTTCTATCGATCAGAAAAGATCAATAATATCAATGATTTCACCGTGCACAAATCAATAATAGGTTTGTTCCGATGCGCTAGTTCATTAGCTACAACACAAACCCTGTTAGAGCGCATTGTATGAATATTTACGCTCATTGTTCTCAAAACAAAAGAAGCGTTCCTAGCGAATCCCCTTTTTGTACGTTTATCCGTAGGACGAAGAAAATCTAATGGCGTTTCAATGCGTTAGGACGGAATTGAAACTCATAGAACGAATTTAGAAGCAAGAAGCAGTGCTAGATTTGAGACAATATCTCATCAATTTGTGACTCTTTATCAAATCCAACGGTACCTATGGAAAGGTGAATAAATTAGCAAGTCATCTTTGACAAAAATATTCAATTTTTTGTTTAAATTCGTTCAGAAAAGAGAGGTAAAGCGCGGGTTGTGCTTAGTAGGACGGAAATTAGATCAAAAACCCTACTGATGCAAAATTTGAAATTTTCGCTCCACAGTGCTCAAACGGTTCCAAATTGGGCCCTGATTAGCCTCCTAAAGCTTGAACTCATTTAGTGAGAAACTGACTTGGCACAAACCATTTGAAGTTCATATGGAAATTACTATGGGAAAACAAAACTTTTTGTTCATTGTCTTCTAGTCTTTTTACATATTGTGCTGTTAACAAACTCAATTGCTATTCTTATGGGAATTTTCATCAGCTACAACTTTGCAGAAAATCGTTTTTCAGCCAAACGTCAAATTAAATAGTTATTAATTGTTTAAGAGATTGATAATCTTATAGCAAGATTAAGCAACTGTATTGTGGGCAACACTGTATTCTGCAGTGTGACATAGTAGCCATGATTTTTGTCCTCTATTCTACGCGCCATAAACACCAATGTTGCCTGCTGAACTAGTTGATTGAGCATAATCATAAGACATCAGTGACTTGAATCATTAATAATTTTTGTTCCTTACATTTGATCGAAAAGTGGTCTTGAACAAAGTTGTAGCTGAGAAAGTTTTCAACAAGCTCAGCTATCATTTTCTAAAGCAGAGTGAACTGGTGAATTTTGAGATAGATATGAACCGAAATTATGGTTTCTCCATAGTAATTTCCATATAAAGTTCAAATGGTTTGTGCCAAGTCAGTTTCTCACTAAATGAGTTCAAATTTTGGAAGGCTAATCAGGGCCCAATTTGGAACCGTTTGAGCACTGTGGAGCGAAAATTTCAAATTTTGCATCAGTCTATTATCCATCCTCCCCCTCGGTCTAAAATAACTAAAAACTGTTCACGTGGAATATACCCCAAATGACAACCATGCCTTAGCCTGATTGGTAAGGAACGTAAGAGATTTTTACAATAAATACCAAATGTAGTTTTATATGTTAGAAAATTAATGTTTACTCAATAAAACATTTTATTTAAGGGGGTATTCCCGATCTTTTTTTTCAAAAAATCAAATTTTTTTTTTTCACGTTTTTTTGTACTTTAGACTATATACTTTCATCCCCCCAAGCCGTTTTCCGATCAGCGAATTCGGTGTCCAGGCATAGCTGACTAATGGTAAGAACCCCCAAATGGTTTTAACTAAAGTCAAAACTTTAAACGCGTTTTTCTCGAAACCACATTTTTTTTATCGGGCGAAGATTTTTCTCAGAAACTATAAGAGATATTGACTTGAATCTTTGCGCATTTTGTTCCTTATTAAATTTTTTGGAGCTTCTCCCACTTTCAGCCAAAAATATTAACATTTAACATTGTTTGAAGCACCTTAAAGCTGCAAAAAAGCGGGCTAAAAATCACCTGTTTTTTCATATGGCCGCCATTTTGTTAATTTGCAAGATTTTTTGCTGCCAACGGGAGAAGCTCCAGAGAATCTTATGCAGATTATAATTTCATCACGAAATCTGTTTCAGATGAAGCCGTTCCAGAGAAAAGTCTTCGCCCGTCCAGGCGTTTGCGGCGAACAGGGGTCTGTTTGCCGCCATTTTGTGACGTCAATAATGTCTTTTTTTATGTCGAAAAAAATTTATTTGTAAACTTTAATGTTCAATAAACAAGAATCCCAAAGAGTTAGGCGCATTACTATTCATTTTCCTTGAAAAAAAATTAATTGAAAAACAGGCCGAAAAAAGGCAAAAGATTGGGAATACCCCCTTAAGATGAAAAATCCTCGAGAAACAGTATACAATTTAATGACACACTGCCAGTCATAATTGATCATTTCAGATTCTGTCCTTAATTCTGATATTGTTTTGGAATATAGTATCATTGTGCCACACCGAATACCAATGTAAAAATGGTACAGACTTAGAAAACACTCAATTGACAACTGTGCAAGTACTGAAAAAAAAACTATTTAGGTTGAGAGCTGATGATAGTTGCAGTTTTTAATTATTTATTATGAAGCTTGATACACAATATATGTACGCATCTAAAACGATACAGGCTTCCAGCTCTATAATTACAACTGCTACAGTGCCTAAAACAACACTAAGCTAAAGGCAGGGTTAAAACCGAATTGCAACGACAACATTTGAATTCAAAACGTATATAATATACAGATAATGTAGTTCGCGCTTCAATTGACAGATAGACTTATTTAGATAATGTTTCCAAATCAACCAATTTACTGAATGAACCATCAAAGCACAATGCCATAACCAGGTACCATGCCACCATGCCCATGCAACCATATCGTAGATATTCTGTGACTATTTTTACACATGTAAGCTTTAAATTACGTTTTTACACACATTGATATGCAACACAATAGTAGTGATTACAGTTTATATGAACACCATCAAATGTTGAACGGAATTGGCATGGTATAATTATGAAAACAACATAAAAATTAGGGTGGGTTAAGATAGATCTATTAATTTGTATTGACGTCTCAAAACGGAAATTAAATATTCAAATTTGTTTAGGCCCTTAATACAAATTTATAGAGCAGTGGGGAGTTGGTAGTTTTTTATATCTTTATTAAGGAGACTTTCAGCCCTGGGATGGTTCCTCCCTGTTACCAGAGTTGGTGGTTGTAGAGTTACATAGTCCACACTAATAAATATATACATACAAGTCAACGTTGATGTTAGTTATTCACCATTTCCGTTAAATTTCGATGGGACTACACTGGGGCTTATATGAATGATGATCAAATAGAAATGTTAGTTTATCCACCAGCACGGAACGCTGGGAATAATACGTCCGTTGAATAGCATTAGCCGATGTGTACTAGCTGTGCTGAACTTTTTACACGCTAACCTCAGAATATGCCATAGCATTTCGAGAAGTTCACACGTGTGTTTAGTGTTTGACGCGGAACAACGGTTATCAAACGGGTGTTCTGAAAGGACAATTATTGTTTTAACTATATTTGCGACGCTGAGGTTTTCAAAAGTACTCTATTCGTCATATCCTAAAGGCCAACAGAAAGAACGTGTATAATATTTTCGGTGACATAAATCCATTCGCACAGGTATGCATCACACGCCTTTCAAGATAAACACACACTGTAGATTTGTTTACGCCTTTTAACATGTAGGAGGCGTCTCGCTTTTGATAAATAAGTTATTAAAAGGGCATCAAGCCTATGAAGCGTTTCCAGTTACACAACAGATTGTTTAGGTCGAACAAAGTTTGGTACAGTGTTGTTAGTATAGAATTGCTTTATGCTCAGAACTAATGGAAGGTGAAGGTGCAATGCACTACTTACTACGAAATGTGACTAGTTTGAAAGGATTATACAAGTTTCTTGTAGAAGATATAGCTGACGGTAGAACAAAGGATTTACTATTAGTGCATAATCCGCTATGGTTCATATCATGCATTGGATTTTACTTATTGCTAGTGTGCCGGATAGTGCCACAGTAAGTTTCAAATCATTTCCATCTGACTATTCGTAACATTATTTTTTTTATAGTGTGATGCAAAACAGGAAGCCAATGCAGTTAAAGCTACCCATAATCATTTATAACATATTCCAAATGTTTGGCAGTGGTTATTCCATTTACCTGTTTTATAATCACGGTTGGACGTTCGACTATTTCTATAAATGCAAAGCGCCTGATTTTTCAGACGAGAAGGATTCTGTAGGGTTCATTTATGCTGCATACTTTACTTATCTACTGAAGATGTCTGAACTTGTAGAAACAGTAATGTACGCCTTGAGAAAGAAAAATACACAAATCAGTTTCTTCCACGTGTACCATCATTGCTATGCGTTAGTGACATCGTGGGGCTTTGCGAAGTATGGTGGAGGTACGTTGGTTTTAATAATGATGATTTTTTTTTCTAATGTAAACTTACACATTTAGGTAGCATGCTCAGCTATACAATCATCGTGAACAGCATAGTTCACATATTCATGTACTCATATTATCTGTGTTCGATATTTGCGAACCAGATTCCCTTCAGTTTAATTCCTGTCAAAAAATTTGTCACCATACTTCAGATGGTAAGTAAATTCGCATTGTAGGTACCTGTGATGGATAATAAACTAAATTATCACAAATTTTTGCTTCACCACAGTCTCAACTGGCAACAGTGTTGATAAATTTGATGTTCGCAATGCTTCCAGGCTGTCCCGTTCCGGTGGGACATTGCTTGTTCCATGCTCCCAACATGGCTCTTCAAATAAAACTATTTTATGACTTTTACATAAGAGCATATACAAAGAGGAAGGCGACTAATGAAAATAAAGCCTCTAACGAAATAGTTGTGAATGAATCCAACATAATGTACAAAAGAAAATAAAGAAGCATATGTGTTAACAATCCAGTACCTATGTTTTATTTAGAAACAGTGTTCAAATGGGCAGCTTTTCTTAGGTTCTCGATCTAACACTAAAAATGCATCATTAAAGTAAGTCTACTATATATAAAACTATATTGTAAAACCATGATAAATATAAAAGTATTTTTGAAAATGTTTTCAGAGTGTTCTTTTCCTTCATCGGTTGTCACAGGGCTGCCGTTATACGCATAAGAGTCCCACGGTGCGTAACGATTGCATATAATATGGGACATTTATAATATAATACTACCCATAAAAGCATAGGTGGCCCATGTGAATAGGAAATCAAGTAAAGATGGGAATGTTATGCGTTTATGGGCAGTAGATATCAATCCAGGATAATATTATTCAATAATTTATATTCTACATGAAATAAAGACTTGCTGTCTTCAGTGATATTATCGAAGACATTGTATCAAGAAGACTTGCATCATTGTCAGAATCAAAGAGGCACATATACAAGTGACAGATACAGTAGTAGCACGTTCAGAGCATTTGCATTTAAGCGAAAGATGACACGATTGCACCTGTTCTAAAGCAGTCTCAATTATGTGCGTCGGTCAATCGATTTCACACATTTGAGTTCGTTTGATTGCGACCTCATACTATACTGGTCCTTTGAAGGTTATAAGGGATTTGCTTTGTTTACTTGTTTAAATATTGTTAAAAGTTATCAAAAATCGAAAAAAAAATCTGTTTTTCCACAGATTTTTTAGAAAATTTATAGGGTGAGTGTACCAGTTATGGTCATACGTTTCTATTATGGTGTGTTCCAATTATGGCCTATGGAATTCCCATAGGCCATAATTGGAACACACCATAATAGGAACGCATAACCATAACTGGTACATCTACCCTATGTCATTTTTTTTTCTTCTAAAAGCAGATAACATTTAATCACGATACCAAATGACTTGAAGTTGTTAGTGAAGATTCTTTAGTTCGTATTGCACACGTGTAATTTTTATGACGGTCAAGGAGGATTTTTATCCCGAGTTACATCCGAGCGAATAAGCTGCTCTCTAAACAAATTGGTACAGTCTCTAATTTGAATTCAGTGGTTAAGTAAGGAAATTTTTATACCATTCAATGGATTCATGCACCTTACCTATTTTTAGGCGAATATAACATCTCAACATATTGTGCAGTTCGGCTTATTTTGGCGCAATCTAAATCCCCATACCTAAGTAAATAGCCAACCAACTTTATCAAACCAAACAAAAACAGTAATTTCTCTCACACTTTATAGTTTTATAATCTTAATTTGAAAATTTCAGTGATAATTCTCAAGCGAGTTTTAAACATGAACATAATATGTCAAGGTTCAAAGATAAGCTTATACCTGTTGTCAAATCAGGAAAATAAAAGGTTGTTTTTAAAATGTTGTGCAGTTAATGTTTACTAATTTGTTCTATTCTTTGTCCAACGTTGATTTATGAACCTGGACAGTTTAAGTTTCATAACGAGGTGGTTCTTTGTTCTGCTCTATTTTATAATAACATTTTAAGTTTCATAAGCTAACTAATGTATTCCATTATTTTAAAATTATGTTTTATAAGTCAAACTTATGATTTCCATAATAAATCCATGTGGCGGTCTGCTTTCGTACTTGAATATTTGCGTTTGCTGTAAGTAAATTTGTGTTTCATTTAGTCAGTTTCGCTTAAGGTGATACTCTAAGGAAGCCTTAGTGTGAAACTTTAAAGGCACAAATGTCAGCTTCCATAAAACATACAAATTTGAAATTGCTACTCCTTGTTTGCTGTGCTACTACACGGTGGTTACTCATACACGGCCGTTGAATCTCACTTCAATTTTCTTAAATTCGCAAAAACATCGATTACTCATAAACTGACTAAAAATTTCCTCGAAAATGAGTAAATAGGGGAAATGGCTCTAATGTTGGCTTATCGATCTAAGATTGGGCCTATAGCTAAAAATCTACTATTTATCCATTTTATCTAGATGAACGCGTCATTGTGACGGTACTAATGGATACTTTTGGTCGCTATTGAAAATTTAGTCGGTTGCTGAATTTATGTATGGGCCCAAATTAGAGGCATTTAGGCCGACATTATATTCATTTCCCCTATAACTTATATTCGAATATGAGGAAAATCGAGAAAAAATTTTATTGAGTCTATGAGCAGTTTTTGCAAATTTGAATAAACGAAATTCAAATGTTAATGAAATTCTACGGCAGTAGTAAAGTGTGTAAAGTAAGTAATGAGTAAAAATCTGCATGAAACTGAGTAAACAGAACCTATATTCAAGCAACATGTTTGGGAATGATTTTTACTCAGATTTCTGAGTCGTTTTTTACTCTCACGGTTGTTTAAAATTACTCAAAATTTAGAGGATTTCACTTATTTTCATGAGAAATGCGGTTACTGAGGTCTCAAAATTGAATTACCTTACTTAGTTTCAATTTTTTTTAGTAATCGTTTTCTCAATTTTGAGAACTATTAACACTCCGAAGACGATGTCTCCGAAAAACGGCAATATCAATAATGTTGATTAATGAGCACAAATGTTCATAACTAGCCAGAATACAGTCATGGTTCCTATATATGGACACTGGAGACAACGGAACGGTCCTCCGGAAGATCCAAAACATCCGTAAAGGTGATAAATCTTAGAAATTTATCCTAGAGCCCCTCAGTTTTTCGAAAACATTGGAACTGTGATTTAAGAATGAAATTATAGGCCCTTTGGGGTAAGGCAACCACGCTTACCCCTAGGAACTCTTAGTGGTACCGTAAAACGGGGTATCTTTGATAATGCGGGTAGCTTTGATGGTATAATGTAAAGATTAAATTTAGTCGCTGCGCTTTTTCCAAACTAGAAACATTGGCTCGATATTGTAGCTTAGGGTATTCCCGTTATACAGTTTTTATATAGTATGCGGTACATATTTTACAAACATATTAAAAAACAATTTTCGTGTTTTCGCCTGTTTGAAAAAAGCACTCTTATCACATATGAAATGCCGTTACACGTTTTTCGGAGGCTTCGTATTCGGCGTAAAGTTTTTTACCCACCGTGTTCGGAGATATCTTCTTAATTTTGAGTTAGTTTCAAAGTTACACACAGAGTTTAGATTACCGAAGTTAGTAAAATTTTACTTTATTTTTAATCAGCTGAGTTTTTAGTTATCAATCACACCTCAAAACCTCGCCTTTACTGAAAGCTCAGTAAATCGTCGAAATTATTAACTGTCAAAAAGTATCGTAGCTGGCTTTCTAAGTGATTTGTTTGATTGTTTACTAGTTTTAATTGGTATTTTTTTTTACGGTAATTTGGCGAAAAATTCAGCAAATTCATGGATTCAAAGTGTTTTTATGTTACTTCATACGCGAAGTTAGCGATTTTCAGAGTTGGGATGACCACGTTGGTCATGACGAGAGGAGCAACACAATAGTTGGGTAAAGAAGAATTGCATTATAACCCACCATCGACTTGAAATGCTATCGCAAACGTGGGGCTTTAGGTAGTGATGAAACGTCGCTAGAACTATTCCACAGCCGCAGTCAGTTATGAGCAAAAGGAGAACGCACATCTTTTGCCTGTAGACTTGAAGACATACTTCAAGTCTCCGCGTACATCGTACGGGTTAGACAAAAGATGTGCGTCTGACTTAAAAAAAAACTGTCGCATTAATGGCCCTCGCTCATTTTCAACTTCTATTCAATTTTCATACTACCGTACTCTAACGGAACTATCCACCTACTTTCTTCTAAAGGCCATTATCTAGCTAATAAATTATCACACTAAAGCTTCATGTCAAGGTTGCAAAGACTCATTTCAGCTAAAACAATGTTTTTCTAAATTATGAAATAATTAGATGCCATGATCAAATTTTGAATTGGTAGGATACAAGAAGAGGTTGCAAAGAATGTGTTTGACATATTAAACTTGTTTATTTCACTTCATGAGAGTCACAATCAGCGGTTTTTCACAAACTCACTCACTCACTCACTCACTCACTCAGCGATCAGCAAATCGCTGATTGTGACTCATAGAAAGCAAAATTTACAGGTTTTATGTTTCCAACGCATACTTTGTAACCTCTTCTTGTAAGTTACTAGTAAAACATGCCATGATACCATCTTTTGGTTTTATTATTCCAAAAAACATTATTTTAGCTGAAATGAGTCTTTGCAACCTTGCTTCATGTTAGCATTTCCAACCAACTCTGAAATTCATGGAATTATTTGGGGTTTATTGCGAAAACAAAAACAAACAAAATTCATTTCCCTAATAACAAAAATACCATAAACGAACGATTACTCAAATGACAGAACTATTCCACTAATGGTTTGGATGATATCCTTCATGGTGCTTCAACAAACTGATTTGAAAATTCGGATACAGAATTCAGGCAGACTCTTCCATCTTGTACATCTACGAAAAAAACATTTTTAATGCAAATTTCATCTTACAAAACAAACTCTGCTCTCCTTGATTGCCTTCTTTTAAAACCGTCTTCATTTCATACTCATACCTACGAAAACAAAAGCGAGGAATAAACTGACACAAGAAATCCGATTTACTGGTATGATCGGTAATTTCAAAATTTCGGTTAATGACAGATCAGTAAAGCGTATTATATACAGAAAACTCAGTATTTTATTTCACTGAATTATTATCCAGTACCGGAATGCTCATTTCAGCACTTGCCATTACCGTATTCAGTAGTTAGTAGAAAGAGTTGCTGAACATCAGTAATTTCATGTAGAAAAACTAAATACTAGCTAGATTTTATATTTTACGGTTCAAAAACTATAAAAAAAAAACTGAACAGCGAAACTGTGATTGAGTGTGTAGTGTTCAGTTGAGGAGAATGAGGAGAACAGTAACGACACTCGAAGCTTTTCAGCAGTATAAAACCGTTTCCAGTTTGACGCTTTGCTGAATATTAAAGCTCATGTAGTTCGTGCTTTATGACACAGCAGCAACGT